CATACATATGTATGTGCATGCGTGTAGCTTTTATAGTGATTCTCAATATATTTTATACTACAGTTACTTTAGATAAAAATTGAGCGATACCTCAGAAAAAATGTTAGAAAACTGAAGTTTGGTACAAACTTTCGTTCTTGCATGAGATTAAAGAAAAAAGTTTATCATTGTACAGTGGCCGCTAAAAAATAAAATTAGACAATTACTACCCAAAGTCTGTTATTTTGCAAATATCTCATTATATATTTATTTTAAATAAAGATACAAAAGTAGGAAATTAAAGAATGGACAATTTTGCATGAAGTATTCTATAACTTTTTTCGTATAAGCTATACTTTTTACTTAAATTTACAAGTTGTTTGTTGTGCGGTGAATTGACAGAGCGTGATGGAGCGTGTCAACAGACGTTATGTGGATTAAAGTATTGCATGCGCGCACAAAAATGTCATAACTTTTAAACAAATTATCGAATAAAAATGAAAAAAAAACCGTTAAAAATTTAGGGATTTTAGCTTTTTAATGTAATTTGTTTTGTTATTTTATAATAAATTTTCAAAAAATTTTAAGACTGTTATTAATTTAATGAGAGAAGACAAACATTACATTTAACATTTTGTTTAAACTATCGTAAAATTTTAAAGTATTAACGTAGAATAACAAAAAGTTGCATTAAAAAGTTGAAATCTTTGGCTTCTCAATGATTCTTCCCTCATTTCCTTACAATAATTTGTTCAAAAATTATGACATATTTGTGCGCGCGTGTAACGCTTCAATCCACATAACGTCTTTCAGCACGGTCCGTGAAGACACCGCGCAAAATACGTCTTGCAAAATTATTTACATAAAAAATATTACTTGTATGAAAGACTTATAGATAACATTTTTATGCAAAATTATCCATTCTTTAATTTTGTACTTTTGTATTTCTTTGTTTTTTCTGTAAAATCGATATTCAACTAGATATTTGCAAAAAACAAAATTTGAGTTCTAATTGTTTATTTTTTTTTTAACGGTCACTATATAATAATGGTAATTTTTTCCTCTCCAATCTTATGCAAAAACGAAGGTTTGCACCAAAATTCAGCTTTTTAACATTTTGTCCGAGGTCAAACCCTAAAGTGACTGTAATATTATTAAATATAGAAAAAGGGAGAAAGACAGAGACGGGAGAGAAAGAGAGAGAGAGAGAGAAAGAGAAAGAGTGAGAGAGAGAAGGAGGGAGAGGGAGAGGGAGCAAGTGAAGACAAGAGAAAGAGCAAGAGAGAACGAGGAAAAGCGAGAGAAAGCGAAAGAAGACGAGAGAGAGCAAGAGAAGTCGAGAGAGAACGACAGAAACCGAGAGAGAACAAGGGACAGCAAGAGAAAACGAAAGAAGGCGAGAGAGAAAGAGAGAAAGGAAGAGAGGGCGAGAGAGAGCGTAAGAGAGCGTGAGAGAACGAGAGAAGGCGAGAGAAAGCGAGAAAAAGAAAGACCGAGAGAAAGCGAGAGAGGACGAGGAAAGACGGGAAAGAGCGGAAGAGAGAGAGAGAGAGAGAGAGAGAGAGGAGAGAGAGAGGGAGAGAGAAAAAAGAGAGAGTGGGAGAGAGCGGAAGAGAGCGCGAGAGAGTGCGAAAGAGCGGAAGAGAGCAAGAGAGAGCGGGAGAGAGCGAGAGAGAGTGAGAGAGGGCGGGAGAGAGCAAGAGAAAGCTGGAGAAAGCGAGAGAGAGCGAGAGAGAATGAGTGAGAGCAAGAGAGGACGAGAGAAAGCGAAAGAGAGCGAGAGAAGGCGAGGGAGAGCGAGAGAGAAAGGAAGAGAGGGAGGGGGGAGGGAGGCGAGAGATAGTGCGAGAGAACGAGAGAGAGAGAGCGAGAGAGAGCGAGAATTTATTTTTCGTTTGGTTGCTTAAAAGGTTAAGCAGCAGAGGACAATGTCACTATATTGTGATGGGTGTCCGTGGATAAGGTAAAGCAGCTGCGGACAAAATCACTTTTTTGGGATGGGTAACTGCGGACAAGTACGACGCCGTAGTCGGACAAAAAAGTGGCACATTTTCGACCAAAAAATAACTAAAAAAATTCATATCTCCGCAACCAATAGAACTATCAAGTTCGTTAAGGTCTCATTTTACTGGGAAAAAATCGCGCTTTCGATTGATGTAGTCATCTTTTAAAAAATATGTTCCAGTTTATGAAATATTTCATACTTTTGTTTTCAAGGTTACGAAAATCGTGTTACGTCCGGTAAAGGATACACAGTAGCGTCCTACGGATAATTTTCGTTATTGTTTCGATATTTTTGCTATCTTTTTGAAATTTTTTTTGTTTTTTGTAGATTGTATTTTAATTTGACAAATGAAAGATATAACTTAGCGAGACACTACCGCCTCTTTTGATAACATTTGTAACTTTCTTGTTACGTTACCATTTTACTATTTCTTTGAGAGTAATAACTACTTTCTTGTTACGCTATCATCCTATTACTTCTTTCATATAAATATATGTTGATATAAAATAAGGGAATAAATAAAAACTAATAATGTTAAGAGACGAGTTATTAAAAAAATATGCATTTTTAACAATTCATAGCTTTAGCGCACTGATTAGTGTTATAAGCTATCAAAAATGCAGATATTTATGGCTTTGTTTTATGTTATTTAATATTATTAGTTTTTATTCTTTTTCTTATTTCATATCAACAATTATATACTTATAAAAAAATAGTAAGATAGTAGCAAGAAATTAGTTTTTACTATGAAAAGATATAGTATATCACGATACAAAATTGAATGATATAATCCCTAAAAACTTACCATTTCAAAAAAAGATTTAAAAAAGGCCAAACCACGCGCGCCTGTAAAAATTTGCAGTTGCAAACCCATTAAAAATCGTACTAACAAAAGATTATTTCAAAAAATTGTATAAAACATTTATTTTTCTAGATATAGATATTTCAAAAAAATAATGATATTAAAAAATTTGCGCGAAGTGAAAATACTATAGAAAGTACTAGAGAAAGTAGTAAGAAACTTGTATATTATATTATCCAAAATAGTTGTTTTAATTTTCTACACATATTCTATAATATAAAAATAATGATATAAAAAATTCTGAAAGAAACTATGCACATAATTACAGAACTTGATTTGCTCTAAAAGTTGCAAACTCATGTGTAATCATATAATTATAACTTTCTTCACGCTGGAAATTGCAAACCCATATTTATAGAATTGTAATAATCAGAAAAAAGATAAATAAAACACACAAAACAATTAAAACTTAAAATATGTGATAAATTAGAAGGCCAACTTGACGAGCTATAAGGTATTAATTACAATTTTTTATTATTATACGTCATATTATGATGTTACAATTGATAAACGTTTCGACTGTATGACAGTCTTTTTCAATATCATTGTCGCTATGCTAATATGTCAAAGAATTAAATCATTTAGAAAAACCGAACTTATTATACATATAACATCATCTATCGGATTATATTATGAATAACGCAGTAAAAATTCATGCTTATTGGCTTGAGTTAAAGCGCCTAATCTCAAACATCAGATTTCTGTAGTTCATGCTGTTGTAATTTGTAGAAAGTTGCGACACAGATCGTTTCTACAAATTATAACAGCATGAACTACAGAAATCTGATGTTTGAGATTAGGCGCTTTAACTCAAGCCAATAAGCATGAATTTTTACTGCGTTGTTCATAATATAATCCGATAGATGTTATATGTATAATAAGTTCGGTTTTACTAAATGATTTAATTCTTTGACATATTAGCATAGCGACAATGATATTGAAAAAGACTGTCATACAGTCGAAACGTTTATCAATTGTAACATCATAATATGACGTATAATAATAAAAAATTGTAATTAATACCTTATAGCTCGTCAAGTTGGCCTTCTAATTTATCACATATTTTAATTGCATACGAGCCAAATTTAATTTGCATTATATAATTTAAAACTTAATATAAAAATTAAAAATTAAAGTTATGTTAAAGAAAAATCAATAAAAAAACTTGGCGCAGCTAAATTAAACAATATGCTAATTTTTGAAAGTTAGCAGTGCCAAGTTTTTTAACTAAAAACATTTTTTTATTTGTATAAACTTTTAATTTTTGCATTTCTAACTTAATTTTTCACAGATACATTATATCATAAAATAAGTACTTTCATAATTAAATTGCTATTTTTTTAACTATATAAATATCGTATAAGTCAATTATAAATATATTTATTTAATTTTTCTAAACAATGCATCGTTTTATGTTTCAGATTAATGATACAGCAAAAATCATACATTAATAACGCGATATATTAGATAATATAAATTAAACTAATATATCCAACTTTTAATAATCTTTTGTAGTCTAGAGATGAATGTGATTGATAATAATTGATTAATTTGAAGAATATGTATGAATTTTTCTTACGCATGTTATCGATTAATTGATATTTAACAGATTGTTTAAATATAACAAATATTTAAATAACTAAAATAATTAAAATTTAATATAGTATAAATTTGACAAATAATATAACTAAAAAATTTATATTATTTGACTATTATTGAGATTTAATCTATTTTTTTATTTTAGCGGAATTCTTAAAAATATAATGGCTCTTCGTTCAAACATCATTTCTGAAAATAACAATTATGAGTTTATTTTATTTCGCTGCTAGCTTGATCTCATGCTACAATCTATAGAAATTTCAATAAATATTTCTTCCTTGTATATAAAGATATATGTGTATAATTTTATATAATAGTAGACAGTTTTTCCTCATTAAAACAATCTACGACTTGTTGTCTTTGATAATCTCATCTCCTCTCCCACGCAGGCACATATGTTTCTTGCGCATTCTACTGGAAAAAGAAATCAAAGCGGATACAGTAATATAGCATTAGTTTTATTGAATCTAGTGAGATCAAAATCTTTGCACAATCATCAATGTTAACAGTGCCAAAATAAAATTAAATCGATTCTTCAAAATTTTGTTGAGAAAGACAAAAAAAAAAGAATTTAATTTTATTATATTTGTATATTTTACACTTAAAACGCATTTTCGTTCAAATAATACACAAGCAAATGTATTTTAATGTGGAATTTTTAATTACTCAAAGTTTAAAACTTATGTGAAAAATGATGAATACTGAAAACTATTAGTTTGATTATCTAATTACTGTAAAGTGTATATCCTTAAAAATGTGAAATAATGTGTGGAAAAAATTTCGCGTTTTTGTGTTGTGGACTTATTCTTCTCGTCACTTCGTCATCAAAATCACAGCCAAACATCAACAAAGTGAGAGATGATAATTTGAGGGTACAATTCGAGGTTAACACAGAATCTAGAACAATTTATACCGACGAAATAAAAGCAAGACGATATGATTTATACGAAAAATTTACCAACAATACGCAATATGAAACACAGAACAAACTTCGTACTACATCCAGGAATAACGATTGCAAGAATGTTGATTCAAGGCAATATAAACTAGACACGCGTTTTATACATAATCATGAGAATGATGAGGAAATAGCAATAAAATCTCACGCGAATTCAATAAATCCTAAAATAAACTTTACGTTACAAGAAACTTATAAAAACTTGATTGAAAAGAATAATTCCATGTCACATGAAGTCTTTGAAAATTTCAGCAATGATAATACTGAAAGTAACATCGTCCCATATGAAATGTGTCACAATAATATTTGCATTCTACTCTGCTGTCCTCTTGGTGATCGTCTTATTGACGACAAATGCATTTCCAAGAAATCTAAATATCTTTTCCCGAACGTGTACGAATACACGAACGATTTAATTCATAGCGTAAATATAACAGTAGACGAATTATTTCAGTTGTCCGTCTACGATTCGTGCCTGGAAAAGAATCACTCTGTGCCTTCCGATGGTCAATATGATTATATGATTTTTGCCAATGGTTCTATATATTTATCTTATTATAAAATATTTACTAAATTGACATCATATTGTATCGCCGTCATGGACAGAGATACATTCGAAAAAATCATCTGCTCAGAAACTTTAGATGAGATCAACAACGCGGTCATATCACAAAACGATAATGCCACCTTGAATTTTGACGCAATTATACATGCAAGCTTGCATGTAGTGACTATGCTATTTTTGATGCCAATATTTTTAGTGTATTCCATATTGCCGGAGCTTCAAACTGTACATGGCTTCATGTTGCGCAATTATAGCGGTGCTTTGTCCGTTGCGTACATGCTTCGTATAGTTACTATTATCATCAAAGCGAATGATATACAGTATCCCATCTGTATTACAATTGGTACAGTATATTTAAATCATTTAACTATGCAATTAGTGTAGTGTATAATTTGTCACACACAAGTATAATATAGGTATATTTTTCACTTATTAATTAATTTTTTTAATTACTTGTAATATAATTAGATTAAAATCTCAAAAGTGCAAGGATTTTGAGTAACATTTAAAAGATGCACTTTAATATATAACTAATTAAATTTAATATGTCAGTAGTATTACTTAAATATTGCTATTTTTACTGCAGGAAGTTAGAGTTAAATATATTTTTAATGAACAAATAAAAACGTGATATAACTTTGAATCACTGCATTTTAATGGGCGCTCTATGGTTAAGTTATTATTTATTCTTAACAATTTTAATTGTTTTATTTATTTTTACAGCCTTCTTCGATTACTTTTGTTTTTTATCAAGTTACTTCTGGCTAACTACGATAAGCTTTGATATGTGGTGGACCTTCAGGTAAATTGCCAAGTATAATATTTCATATTATATAATACTTTATATTTAACTTTCGCTCATATTAATTTACTTTTATAGAATTGCTTTATATTGGACGAAAATTTATGTCGTTTTATTGGTCAAATTAAAAAAATATTTTTTAATTAAAAATTTTTTAATTTTTAACTTAATTTATCAAGAATGAGAATAATTTTTTAAGTCAGCTCTTTTAATTTTAAAACCACAATCTCCACTTGATTTCTCTCGACCAATAGAGCCAAATGCGATGTTATTGCGACAATTATGAAAGAAAGAAAATTCGGAAACTAAGGAATTTGAATCCTATGGTTGGGATCTCAAAAATTCCCCTTGTTCCTTCTCTTAACATCCCCTGTAAAGAAATAGGCGAGAAAAATATTGGTCCGAAAGTCGGCTGAATCGGGAATCGAACCCGAGACCTTCCGCTTGCCGGGCGACTGCTCTTCCAACTGAGCTATTCAGACACTTACGAATAAATATTTCTCTCAATGTTTATACCCCCTCACCCACCCAAAGCGTCGTAATTAGGTCCAGACGCGACGAACAATAATGAGAATAATTTTTTAAGTCAACTCTTTTAATTTTAAAACCACAATCTCCACTTGATTCCTCTCGACCAATAGAGCCAAATGCGATGTTATTGCGACAATTATGAAAGAAAGAAAATTTGGAAACTAAGGAATTTGAATCCTATGGTTGGGATCTCAAAAATTCCCCTTGTTCCTTCTCTTATAAGAGGGGAATTTTTGAAAGAAAATTTGGAAACTAAGGAATTTGAATCCTATGGTTGGGATCTCAAAAATTCCCCTCTTATAAGAGAAGGAACATTCCTTCTCTTATAAGCAGTCGCCCGGCAATGCGATGTTATTGCGACAATTATGAAAGAAAGAAAATTTGGAAACTAAGGAATTTGAATCCTATGGTTGGGATCTCAAAAATTCCCCTCTTATAAGAGAAGGAACAAGGGGAATTTTTGAGATCCCAACCATAGGATTCAAATTCCTTAGTTTCCAAATTTTCTTTCTTTCATAATTGTCGCAATAACATCGCATTGCCGGGCGACTGCTTATAAGAGAAGGAACAAGGGGAATTTTTGAGATCCCAACCATAGGATTCAAATTCCTTAGTTTCCAAATTTTCTTTCTTTCATAATTGTCGCAATAACATCGCATTTGGCTCTATTGGTCGAGAGGAATCAAGTGGAGATTGTGTTTTTAATTTATCAAGGTATTTGCCATTTTTCTAGATAAAACTTTAGGTATGTAGCTTTATCATGATTCCATCCATGTAGAATTTCTCAATTTTCTGGCGGATAAACTGTTTCAAGTAGGACTGCAGGCAGTGTTTTTGCAGGCTTCCAGAAAAGTACATTTCTTGTAATTAAGAATGTTTTGCAGGGATCGAAATAAATGATAATCACAGGGATTTAAATTCAATCAGAGGAAACCAATTTCTGCCGAATGATCAAAGAGATCATGCATAGTCATGAAAGACAACACTCTTACGATTGACCAATTGAATACTTTGGTCGATTGTTGCTTTTAATCGGTTCAATTACGAGGAGTACACATTAATTGTTTGATTTGTTGTAAAAGCTCGTAAAACAGGATTTTTTCAATCCCATCAGATACAATGCATGACATTCTTCGAATGAAGTTCTATTTTCAAAATCAATAATGTTTTTTTTATCTTGTCTGCTCCCCCCCCCCCTCTTCCACAACGTCTTTCATACTAAGGCTGCTTTCCTTAAGAAAACACACATCGACACAAGTTAACACACTTGAGCACAGTTTGTCACAGATAAATGAAACGAGTTATGTACAGTATGTACCGTATGTGCACAAACTAATACCTAACCTTTTTATCACATCAAACGTACATCAAACAGATTTATCGTAAGATTTATCGTAACAAAAAACTTTTCAAATGTATTTTAAAATTTTATAAATGTATGTAAATATATTATACTGTATATAAATATTTTTAGTTAAAATATATCATAAAAACAAAGTTTTATTGTTATGTTAATTTTCCAAATATAAAAAATAATATAATTTCAAGAAAAATTTATAATAATTCGATATTTATATGCAAACAAAAAAGTAAACAAATTGAGAACATATATAATATTTTTATATGTATACATATATTCTTATGTGTATTATTGTATATTAGTACTTTTAATAATTTTTATTATATTTCTATTATATTAACTTTTATTATATTTCTCTCTATTATATATTAATATATTTTTATTATAATATTTTTATATAAATTCTTCAGATAAATCCACTACTTATGCTAACCTGACATCACTGGTAAAAAACACACTCTAACTCTTTTCCCAAGAGTCGAAGAGTGTCGATTAAGTATGAATAAAATTCTAAATGGAAAGCAACGTGTGTGTCGATTTGTGTCAAAAGTAATTGCTTTCGTTGTAAAATTTAAAAGTTTTCAGTATTTATAATATACATATATTAATAATATATGTGTAAAATTTAGTATAACGCAACTGTTCTGCAATTATTTGTGATTTTTTGTTAAACGGTACTAAACGTTTTATTTTTATATATAATAAAATTTGAAATAGTTTAAAATATTGTATTGTTAATTATAATATAAAAGTATATTTTATAATGCAATGTAGTTTAAATAATATTCAATTTTATATAATAAATAAAAGAAAAATAAGATTTGCACTTTTGTTTCTTAGTATTTTTATCTTAAAAATAATAAATAATAATTAAGTATACTTCACAATTAATTGTTAATCGCCAGTAATAAATTTTAACAAATAATAAGATGCAATTTAATTCAACCAAAAACTGGCTATTCATTTATTGAAAATAAGTACACACTACGTTTCGACCCACATTGTGGTCTTTTTCAAGTGCTAGAATACAAAAATACATAATTTGGCAAGCGAAATTAACATTACATTAACACTAAATTTGATCTGTAATACATACTTGTTCTTATTCAGCAATTACATTAATTAAAAATAGAAACATGAAAGTTGTCCTGTCATATCGACAATCTGTTAGCTACAGTAGACTAGTATTATGTTTTTTAAATCATTTGAATAATGTTGTCATAAATAGAGGACTAAGGTTATCAGTGTTTATTTGTAAATTAATTTTATTTGTTGTCTTTTTATGTAGAACATTTCAGCGATCTCTCTTTTTCGTCTTTATATATTTATATATATATATATATATATATATATATATATATATAATTTATATATATATATATATATATATATATTTATATAATTTATATATTTATATATATATATATATATATATATATATATAAAATAGTATACTTAATTATTATTTATTATTTTTAAGATAAAAATACTAAAAAACAAAAGTGCAAATCTTATTTTTCTTTCATTTATTATATAAAATTGAATATAATTTAAACTACATTGCATTATAAAATATATTTTTTTATTATAATTAACAATACAATATTTTAAACTATTTCAAATTTTATTATATATAAAAATAAAACGTTTAGTATCGTTTAACAAAAAATCACAAATAATTGCAGAACAGTTGCGTTATACTAAATTTTACACATATATATTATTAATATATATTATAATTACTGAAAACTTTTAAATTTTACAACGAAAGCAATATTGCATACATACATAAATCCCGATGCTTACAAATAAAAAAATGAAAAAAATAAGTCTCTTATACTATATTAATATAGCGACAAACTAAAATTTCATATGTGTGTTTTTCAAAGAAGTCGAAGTATAATTTGTTTTTGCAATCGAATAAAATTAGAAAAAAATAAAACTGAAATTGATTTGACGTTACGTATAAAAATAGATATTTTTGTCGCAGACAATTTTTTTGTTTTAAATAAAAAGCAGAGTATAGTTCAGCAATGAATATACTATAAAAATCATCAAATTTCAACATTAAAAAAAAACAAAAACATCTTATTTTTTTATTATTCTTTTCCCCATACTGCCGTCATCTTGACGACGCCAAGGAGCTTACTTTAGCCACATTGAAGTAACTGCATCAATCTGTGGGATTTCTGTTTCTGGCCTTTTGTCTAAAATAGCACCTAAAAATGCAATAATTTTTATATTTTATTAAATTTCTTTATATTATTAATTTATATTTAAACTATTGCTCTTATTTCAAATAATTTTTAATTTTGGAAATAAATAAATAAATAAGTTTACTTACCTTGAACAACTTCATACAGCATTAGCTTTTCGAAACATTTTTTGGATAAACTTTTACCCCCTCTTAAAGTAAAATCTGCTGCCAATGTGTTTGAAATAAGTTTCCTTACAAATATGTAGCTTCTTCAATACTGTCTTTAGGACCAATAATTTGACTCATGTAACAAATCTAAAAAAATATCAAATTTTTAGCAAAGAAAATTAAAATAAAAAATTAAGAAGGTTCGTATTATATCATGCAATAAAAAGTAAAATTAATAAAAGACCAACTTACGAGCGACATTAGGAGTAATATACAAATCTCAAATTTATTATAAATTATTCTTACATCAACAAAAAGTTAGAAATTAATTTCCTTACATGATCTTAAAATAACATTAGTAAACGTTTCGACTTACTTAGTCTTCCTCAGTACATAATATAAAAAACAGTAGTAATATAAAAAACCTCACATAAAGTAACACAATTATCCGGTATATCAAAAATAGCGAAAGTAACAATCATATTGAGCGAACTATCCGAATATATTCTAGCCATATTTTAATTTTCAAGAAGTCGATATAATAAATTGCAAACAATTTGCATCTAACATTATGGAAACGCTTGTTACAATTAAAAAGATATTTTAAATCTCTTTTTTGTTGAGAGGCGAGAAAAAATTTGTCCCAATTCCGTCAGTTTTTAAGTTGTCAATCAAATCAAGTATATGTGCGAGTTTCATAGTGGACAGATGGCTTGTATATTTAATGTTATACTGTAACTATAT